TTACAACTAGTACTGCTATTGATGTTGCTACTGATACTACCACTTCTGCAACTGCTATACTATTACTACTGCTGCTACTGCTACTACTACTGCTACTCCTGCTGCAAGTACTTCTACTATTACTACTACAACTAGTGCTGCTACTGATGTTTCTACTGCACTTCTACTACTGCTATGCTATTACTACTGCTACTACTACTACTACTACTACTACTACTACTACTCCTGCTACTACTGCTGCTACTACGGCTACTGCAACTGCTGCAAGTACTTCTACTACTACTACTTCTACTACTGCTGCCACTACGACTACTACAACTCCTGCAAGTACTTCTACTACTACTACTACTACTACTATTACTACTACTACTACTACCACTACTACTACTACTACTACAATACATATCATAATCATTAACATCAATATCATAATACAATCATCAAGGCTTTTTCTGTTTCATTTCGGACGCATCCCTTATCCAAAGTTATAGTCAAGTTCTGACAACTAACCCACTGACCCGGTTCCATGTGCCAAGATGCTGATACAAGTCAAATCAGTTCTAAATCAGTCAGTACAACACAAGGCAGGCTTTATACATTACATGTCTGACAAATTGGTTCAAGAATAACAGTGCAGGTCTTGTTTTGAAAGTGCGTTATGTTTAAAAATAAATAAAAAAATAAAAAAAAGGAAACAAATAGCGTGCGCATGTCTTTAAATATGATTATTATTATAAAATTATTTCTTTACCTTTTAAAATGACCGAGCTCGTCAAACACCCGCTCGACCGTCATTTTTGAGGCGGTGGGTGAGGGTCCCGTGGAGGTTCCCGAGTCTTTACGGGGGGGGAAGTTAACGGGGTCTGGCCATGGATCTAGGTCTGGCGCAGCTGGAGGAGCCGACCATGCGCGCTCCCGTGGCTCCACTCAAAGGCGCGCGCCCGGACGGTTTGTTTGGAGTTTTTTCACTGGAGAATAAACTTTTATCGACCAAAAAGTAAAAGCGACCACCCCACGTTTCCTCAGAGGCGTGGGCTTATCCTGGTGGTGCAACCCTGTCCGCTGCACAAACAAACGTGTGTCTATTCCTGCGCTATGTTTTGAGAAGTTTTTTTTTTTTTTCTTGTATTTAAAAGTTATCATGCTTTGGTTTGAATGATATAGCAACAGTCTGAAAGGCAGAGGTGGTAAAAGTATTTAGTGAAATAGAATTAAACTCTTGTCAAATAAAACAATATTGTAAATAATTCCCTTGTACTTTAAACGGGAGTGCAAAACTTTTCTCTCCATGAATGATACTTTTTTCTAAATCAAAAGAATCTTGTAAAATTTACATTCTGTGACATCATCTATCTAGCTGATGCTGTGTGGCTGAGAGCTGATTGGCTGATTGAGGGTGGTCCTCTCTTTCTAACCCTACAGGAACACAACGAGGAAGGAAGTATTTAATTATGTAGGCTGTGGTTACATTTATTTTGTGGTATGAAAGTTGGGTGTCACAGCTTTAGGCAAGGCAAGTTTTTTTGTATTGCACAGTTGATACAAGTCAACTGAAAGTGATTAACAAAACAAGTTAAAAACAAGGCAAAATCATAGGTATAATCACAGTACTTTTGTCGCTTTTGTATGGACTTAAGTAAGAAAGTATATTGCATTCTACTTCATTCATAAATAATAGGACAAGATTATCCAATCCAATCCACTTTATATATGTAAGACACTTTAAAAAAAAAACTAAAAAAAATCAAAGTGCAGCACAGAGATAAAAGTAACACATTTAAATATACAGGTTTGCCAGCTTCATATGTTAAAAAAAATAAAAAAAATACATAGAAAAAGTAATAGTAAAAGTAATGCGTCCATTATTGTCATTCATCATCTCCACAGAAAGCGTCATGTCAGCTACAGTTTGTAAACAAATCAGGCCGCACTGTGCTGTCTTCATCTCACTGCAAAACATCAGACTGAGAGCTGATTGGCCCCCCCCTCTTCTTTTCTGTCTGAAAAACCTGATGCAAAAATGTTTTAGAGGCCATAATACATGCATGTGAAAACCAGAGACAGAGCCAAATGATGATTTTATGACATAGTTCAATCTTTGGTGGTTTAAAAATCGAGGTACCCCAGCTTTAATTTCTTACACACTGCCTTCATTTAGCTTCAGCTTCATGAAATCACGTTAATAGCACTACATTTGGCACAACAGCCCTCACATCCAAACAGAAGCTCCATTATACAGATGCGATGTTGTCCGAGCACGGTTGGGAGGAGGAGGAGGAGGAGGAGTGTGCAGGAGGAGTGTGCAGGACCCGTGGCCGTGTTGACTTATCAGCACCTCGCCTGATCTGGACCCAGCAGGTCTCTGGCCACAAACAGAGCGCTTGTTTGCTTTTGGAGGCTCTGGCCCACCATCTGCTCGCCGTCCTCTAATGGAAAGCTATCAAACGCTGGGATTCCGTGTGCATTATTGGGAAATTAAATTCACACAAAAAAAGTACATACTCGATACAGGTCAATTTTTGTGTATGGTAATAAACCGCAAAAGCAGTGGCAGTTGGAGGTCTTTGCAAAGTACAACAGATGTGAGAATTAAACTCATTTCAAAGACTGGAAATGCAATAATAGCAAACACATAAGAGCTATTGGTTCATAGGGAGCGGGATGACCAATGTCCATATAGTGTAAATGATGGTAAATGTACAACTATTTCTTGAGAATATTTGTTGTATCTGGCAAAGTATATAGTTTTGGGTCTACAATGAGTTATCTGCACACATGGATCCTAGTGCCCCTTTTTAAGCATGCATCTTAATATTATCATACTTACAGTCTATGGTTTTTTCTTGGTTATGTTTATACAGGTACAACTCAGGAGATTAGAATATTGTTCAAACTTTACCATGTACAGTAATTTCAGCTTAAAATGTGAAACTATACACACACACAGGAAATCCTCAATCCTTTAATCCGTTCATAATTATGGCGCCCAGCTTGTGTAGAAAATCCAAATGAAAAGTCTCAGAAACGTAGAATATTTTGGAAAATGGCCTGTAATCCATAACCATTATAGCTATTATATAAAGAATAGGTTGGCATATGTCAGAAATATGCCTTTTCACATTTGCTCAATTGTCAGTGTTTTTCAAGCTAAATAAAATCAGGGGGAAAACACAGGTTGTTTCATTATGTGCCATGTTTGTGTGTCTTTTTGTTTGTGTGCAGACTTGTACAGACTCCCAGGACTCTGAGGAGCACAGGGACTGGCCTCCTGCTGCTGCCCAGAGACAAAACTAAACATGGTGATGCAACATTTTGGATTCATGCAGCTAAAATCTGGAATTGTCTTCCAGAAAAAATTGTGTGCCTGCCTTGTCTGCTGTGTTGTTACATATGATTTAACCAGTATGACTGAATGAGATTTCTCTCATGTTTACTGTACAAGATGAGATAAAATAAAACTTTGTGAAAAGCACTGAGTTGCCCCAAGTGGCCCAAAAGAGGTGCCAGTACTCTTGTTGTTTTTGTTTTTTTGCCCAGGGGAATGTCCTCATGTTTCCAATGCCAGGGAATGCACTTCTCACCCTGACGGAGTTTTATTTCCAACTGTCAACAGACAACCTTGATAATATATCCATGATATACTTTTGTTTTTGGATATGCTTGAGCTAGAAAGAAATGCAAAATGGTAGTGAAAAAAATGTTATAAGGTTATAAGGTATGTTAAAAGGTAAAACATCAACATGAGTCTTGAAGATGTAAAAAAAAAAAAAATATCACAAAAACAAATTCAGCAAAATATAATTAAAATGAGAAATAATGTGCAGATTATTTTACCTGCAGCATGTTTTGGGCTTCACTTTCCTTGCACTTGGGGCGTCACAGGTTGTAGATGCTGCACTTCTGCCCAGTGCCAGCCATGTCTGAACATCTGTGCATTAAACTGATCCAAGAGTGGTCCTTGCATTTAAGGAAGATCAGGTTTAAAGTCTTTTTGTGTCTGACCACCTGCAGTGGGGCCCGCAGGGATAATTTGAAATGCATTGTTGACCTCAGATCCACAGACTGCACTTGTATCTAACCTGGAGGACTGACAGGTCTGACAGTGATTATGGACATTGTTTTTTTGCTTTCATAAAGTCTCTAGATAATAAGTTTGAGGAGGGAGGCCGCCTCGACAGAACACCAGTACCAGTAAACTTTCCCTGATTTGCCCAGGCTTGAAATACATTTTCTAAGTTTATTCATTTGTTGGGGAGCATTGGTTGGCAGTGAGCAGATTTGCGCGTTATGTATTCCAACACACACTCTGCTTTAGATACGCTGAGAGCAGAGGAGATCTATAGGAATGCAGGTGTTCTGTCAGACCTATTGAGGACCTCTGTGGCCATACCTGCATGTGAAAGACCTCTGAAGCTAAGCAGAACAGGGTATAGTTAGTACTGTGATGGGAGACCTCTGGGATCACCAGGTGCTGCAGTGTGGTGTCCTTAGGCAAGACACTTTGCCTAGAATGAGTCTGGTGTGTGCATGAATGAATGGCTGGTGGTGGTCAGAAAGGCTGTTGGCACATACTGGTAGCCTCGCCTCTGTCAGTGTTGCTCAGGGCAGCTGTGATTACAGTAGTCGTTTACCACCACTGTGCACTATATTAAAACCAATCATTATTATTGCAGACCTGTGCAGCTCTTTAAACAGAAGCAGGAGGAGGACACATGCTCCAATGTCCAGCAGCTCTGTGACGTCATCATGAAGGAGTGCAGGAGGGTCCAGAGGCAGCACTGAAGCTCTGGTGAACTCTGATGGTCCTCCCTTATGATGTTGACATTTTAGGTCCACTGTGGACATTTGCTTTTACTTGCACCCTGCTTTTTTAAGTTCAGCCATTAATAGTTGCTGAGTTATTTTGAGTGGGCGGTACGTTTACACAGTGGTACTAACTGTAAACAGGCTGCTTTACATCGTACTAGACGAGCATCAACATCTGGAGATGGGGCTGTGCTATGGCGACTGATGGGCTGTGCTATGGCGACTGAGGGGCTGTGCTATGGCGACTGAGGGGCTGTGCTATGGCGACTATGGCGACTGAGGGGCTGTGCTATGGCGACTGAGGGGCTGTGCTATGGCGACTATGGCGACTGAGGGGCTGTGCTATGGCGACTGAGGGGCTGTGCTATGGCGACTATGGCGACTGAGGGGTTGTGCTATGGCGACTGAGGGGCTGTGCTATGGCGACTATGGCGACTGAGGGGCTGTGCTATGGCGACTGAGGGGCTGTGCTATGGCGACTATGGCGACTGAGGGGCTGTGCTATGGCGACTGAGGGGCTGTGCTATGGCGACTGAGGGGCTGTGCTATGGCGACTATGGCGACTGATGGGCTGTGCTATGGCGACTATGGCGACTGAGGGGCTGTGCTATGGCGACTATGGCGACTGATGGGCTGTGCTATGGCGACTGAGGGGCTGTGCTATGGCGACTGAGGGGCTGTGCTATGGCGACTATGGCGACTGATGGGCTGTGCTATGGCGACTATGGCGACTGAGGGGCTGTGCTATGGCGACTGAGGGGCTGTGCTATGGCGACTGAGGGGCTGTGCTATGGCGACTGAGGGGCTGTGCTATGGCGACTATGGCGACTGAGGGGCTGTGCTATGGCGACTATGGCGACTGAGGGGCTGTGCTATGGCGACTGAGGGGCTGTGCACTGCTCTTGACTGAAGGCATTGGAAGAATGGGTCAAATGCAGAGGAGGACGACAGCAAACTATAACTTAACTTATTCATTCAACGTACTTTCAAGAGTGTACATGCAGATACAGTAGCATAAATGCAAAAAAACAGAATGATGACTAGGACAACATTTTGGTTTATTCCTTCCTTACCTGACAAGAACTTCTTCCAGAACTTTCACTCGAGATTTCATGTTGATTGATAAAAGTAAATTGATCTAATGTATAATTTGAATTGTATTGTTATGTTGTACTTTTACATTGTATCAATCTACGAAAGTAGATTAAAGGGCACACACAATTTACAAAATGTAAAGTTACTAAACAATCTATAACTTTTTGGCTATTGGTATGAAGAAAATATATCAAATGAAACACAGCAATGTTTTACTTTTTACAGTGCTCAGTTTTGCTGCTACTAAAACATCTAGATTGACTTGTGTAAAGTTTCTGCTCCTTTTATGCTGAATGCAAGACAAAAGCTGCATTCTTCAGCCACTGTCTCATTGTTTCCACCGCCAGATGAATTAAATTAACTTTGGCTCATTGAGTCCATATGTCAATGTTTAGATCTGCATCTCTCCTCAAGACGGCGACATAGTACAGTAGTGAGATGAACATTATGGTTTACGAAGAAAAATCACAATGATACGTGGAAACAAACGTTAACAGCTGTTAGTAATGATAGCCATGTTTTTAAATGTGTCTCAAATAATTCACAAAACTATTTTCAATACTGTTGTTTCCCGGCAGAGGGCAGCAGTGCACTAAGTCAAATTCTTTGCAGACGTAGAAAATAATGTTTCTCAATGACATACGTGTGTCTTATTCCTATTGCTCTGTATCTTGTAACAGTTTAGTGTCAGTAATGTCCTCTTTTAAATCTCTTTTGTTTATGCCTCATATATCGAGCCACAACTATATCTCTTGTTATAACAATATACTATAATTCACACACAAAAACTCATATAATGAAGACTTAATGGATAGTAATCACAGCTTGTTTTTATTGAATTGTGTTGGTTCTGAATGAGTCCAAACAGAACCAACTGATGAAAACTATTAAGTCCATCGCGCTCAACAAGTAGAGGCCCATGTGGACCTGCATAAGCGCTCACGCCTGTCCCGCCCAAGGATAGGATTTCAGAGTAATTCGAGAGTCATCGGGGCGGAAGAGACATCCCGGAGGAGGGAGTCTGAGTATGTGATGTGGGCCGATAAAAAGAACAAGAAATATAAAATGGGCGTGTGTGTTTGTGGGGAACGGGAACTTGAGCGTGCGAGGAGGGAGTCGCCAAAAGTTTGCAAAGCGGGTGGCACGTATTGTCCTGGCTGAACACAGACTGGGATGCATGCTGACACGTGGTTGGGCTCTCATTTGATGTGTTTTTCTTTGACTTATAACTTTGCTAGTGAACAATAATGGGATAGAAAGCTATGCGTAAAAAGTTGATTCATGCGTAATGCGCGTGTGAAGCTGGACATGGGCCTGGAGAGACTGAAGTCCCGGGGTTTTTTGACGCTGCTGGTGCGTGTGGGGCTTGTGGTCTGCGCGGTGGGACTGTGCGTGCATGTTTACCTGGAGATGACTCTGAGGCATCATACTGTGGCCCCAGCGCACGGACACACCGCTCAGGCCAATGGGAGCGGAGCCAAAGAGGAGTCTGCTGCGGAGGCTCCTGAGGACAGCAGCCTGGAGGGAAAGATGTCCCAAGTCAGGATGCTCAAGAAGGAGAGCTTAAGAGATGTGCACACAGCTCTGCATCACAGAAAGGTGAGGTGTAGTAGATGAATGAATAATTGAAAAAGGTCCTGGGTTCGAATCCCGGTCGGAACAGGGTGTCTCTGAGCGGAATTTGTTTGTTCTCCCCGTGTCTGCTTTCCTCCGGGTGCTCCGGTTTCCCTACCACTAAAAACATGCACAATAGGTCTGGCATGCACCTCCTGTACTGGTGACCTCTCTCCCTTCTCTCTGTGGAGTGAGAGACAAATGCCCACAACAATTATAAAGCGTTTTGTAACTCTGATCTGTGAAAGGTGCTATACATATAGTTTAGTTACTTACTTACTTTGTAGATCTCACATTCAAGCATTTCTTTACACTAACCATTTAAAATTTTGACACTAAAACAAAAGCCCAGATTCCAGAGCTATATAGAGTTAGATACTTTATTGATTGCAGTAGAAGAAATTCATGTGTCTAGCAGCAGAAACGCATCCATCCATATTTAGAAACATAGTACATCAAGTTTCCAACTAACTTTGTAACTAACAACAATAGTGCACAATGATCACAATGTTGATTGTGATCATTGTTGATCATAATTTGTTGACTAATGAGTTTAAGGTGTTCCCACTGGGAGGAGACTCTGGTGAAGGCCAAAGATGCGTTGGAGGGACTTATGTCTCTCAGTTGGCCTGAGAACGCCTCAGGATTCCCCACGAATGAGCTGCAAGGAGTGTGTGTGGATAGAGAAGTCTGGGTGTCTCTGCTTAGAAGGCTGCCCCTATGACCTGGCAATGGATAAAGCGGAAGAAAATAGATGATAGGAGGGCCTTGAGTTAGCCGATATGTCTGGTTGAATTTTTCAACAACAGCTACAAAAGAAGAGATGTTACAGTTTTTTTTCCAGTTTAAATGATTCATAAACAGAAATAAATAATGAAACAGTGAAACAATTGAAACCCCCATTCATTGAAACTGACTCTCCTCCCTCGACCTTCGGATTAGGCATCATTCAGGTAATAAACCTACATTTATGAAAGAAGACCCGTCTCAAAAAGCTTACTCTATAAACTAAACAATTCTCATGAAAGGTATAGAATATCACAGTTAACCCGAACGTCCCAGATGTTCTATTTCTGTTGTGAAATACAGTATAAAGCAAACAAAACACCAACTTCATGGCTATAGCAGCTAGCTGCAAATGTGCAACAAAGGCCTATTGAAAAAGTCTATGGGAGCAAGCACAGCTATTCTTAAGGCCAACGAGCACACACAATCCTGGAGAGTGGACATTTGGCCTCTGAAGGGTGTGCATAAGGAGCAGCTTAACTAAAGCTCCCTCTGACTCACGCTGGTGCCCTGCTCTGGTTTGGACACATGATACCACCTCCATCCTTACCGTTGTTCACTTAACAGCCCGCTGCTTCTGATGTTGTAGCAGCAGTTTGAGGGACACAGGGTTTTTTTTCCCAGTAGCAAGATCCAGACAGTGCATTATTGACATATTGTGGAGAGGTTAATGCAGAAGTGGTGGTGGTCGCTGGGAGAATATCAGGTTCAGGGTCAGGTTTACTTTGTGTGTACTTGTAGGTAGACAATACATCTTATTTATTACAATACATTCACCCCGAAAAAAAAAAATTACAAGTTTAGTGAGTGCTTAAAGTACGGAAGCTTGTTAGGTTCACTTGTGAGTGTGTTTTTTTCCCGCTGGTATCATGTTATTTCATGATACTTTCATGAAATAACATGATAAATTTCATGTTATTTCATGATACACAACTATCTTGTTATTTCATGATACATGATAGTTGCGTTCTTATCATGAAATAACATGATAGTTGCGTATCATGAAACAACATGATAGTTGCGTATCATGAAATAACATGATAGTTGCGTATCATGAAATAACATGATAGTTGCGTATCATGAAATAACATGATAGTTGCGTATCATGAAATAACATGATAGTTTGCGTATCATGAAATAACATGATAGTTGCGTATCATGAAACATTGTTTGCATGAAAGAAAATTAGTTGCGTATCATGAAATAACATGATAGTTGCGTATCATGAACGAATAACATGATACCAGCTGGGGGAAAAAACACACACTCACAAGTGAACCTAACAAGCTTCCGTATTAAAGTGCTCCCCAATGTGAATTATGTAAAACTATTGCTTTCATGGCATTTGTTGTGTTCATATTTCCTGGTGAATCTATGAGAGCTAATTTGGATTGTAGGTGTTGGAAGTGTTTGCACTCGTTGGAAGTCCATCACTATTTCTTACTAGCCCAGAGGGATAATAAACTTATCCCACACCTCATCGAAACTCTTACTTTTTCCAGAACAGTGGCAGCTGGGAATATCATTTTCCGTTTACTAAATGATAACCTGTTCTTTTCTTTAGGGGGCCCCCTACGAAAATTAACACTGTTTAGTCTGAAAACACATCAGGCGCGCAGTAACAAAGTTGTCATGAATTCAACGCGAGTACGCTTATTTGAGCTGAGAGCCTGATTGGGTTGCTGATTTCCCTCTCATTTTCACTTTTTTGTCGACAGAAAAGCAGAATTATAGATGTGACTGGAGCTAAACTATGTGTGGATAGAACCCAAACTGCTTTGAGAGTTGAATCAAAACAGAATGTTTTTCTGTGGGTGATTTGTGCCTCGGCCTCAGGGTCTCAGTTCGATTCAATGTATGTTTGAATAGCCCTAAGAACACAACAGTAGTCGTCTCGGAAAACTTTACAAAACAGTCCCGCCAACACAGATTAGAAAAACCGTTCCAAACCATAGACTGTGAATATTAACGGACGTAACGGCTCTATAGTGGCTCAGTTGGTAGAGCATTGCCTTTGAGCTGGAGGTCGTGGGTCCGAGCCCACCACAAGACCATCCTCACACTGATGTCTGCTGTCGTGTGTGTCTATCCCCCCCCCCCCCCCCCCCCCCCCCCCTTGGGCCAATGAAACTTTACCCCACTTTGCCAATAAGCAGCACGGATGTAATGTTTGCTGCATGCCTTGATGTGTGTATGTGTATTCATCAATTGAAATTTCCCTATGTAGGACGAATAAGAGGACCTTCTTCTTCTTATCTCCACAGTTGAAACTTGTGTGCCACCACTTTTGGCTTCTGTGGGGTGTTTCAAAATGGCCACGGGGCTTGGAAAATGTGAATAAAATATGCATTTACGCATGCGTTAGCCGGCAACCGAGCCCCATTCCTTTGACTAGTGCCTTCAAAAGTCCCAGCGACTAATAACTAGACTGGTCCAAAAACATATATACTCCCTCAGCATTGACACACATCTGGAACGTTAGCGTTGGGCCAAGAGCTGAACTTTTGGACCATCCTGTATCACTGTTTTCAAGAGGTAAGAAGAAGCGCAATTACTAAAGCATTGGATTAATTCTCTTTCTGGGTCCACCCCCACAGGCTAGGCAGTGGTATTGCAAGACTATGTTAGCGGGTTAGCGCACTTGCACATGGACCGTTTTTGAACCACACCGCACGCACCGCCACACTGGGTTCAAAAACACAAGAAATGCAATGATTAAAACCACACATCCAGCCATTGTGGTCCATCAGGGACCGATAACCAATGTTCCCTAAATGTTTGACAAAGATTCACAAATAGTGGTGAATGGTTGTCGCGTCCATGGATCACCACCCACTGTCACTTGCCCCCTCCTGTCATCGTATTGCAACAGTATCGATAATGAGACTCATACCGAACACCTTCTATATGGACCATTTTTGTTTCATCGCGAGTTAATTTTTAATAGCATTTTTCTACAACGTGGATTTGTAAATGCTCTGAACATCACTGCAGGGGGATTTGCACCACACTGAGAGGATTGGCCAATTTGCTTTCCATTAATATTACATTCCAACCATATGCTACCTCTCCTTTCTGGCCTCCTTTGTACACACACGAAATTTGTGCCACCATAAGTCCGCGATGGGGGGCGGGGGGAGGCGGCCCTGACAGAAGCAGGTGCATATGTTTGGTTGCATTTATTGCATGTTGGCGTGTGTCTTTGGAGCCACGCCGCTTGTTTCCTCCCTAGGCTCTCATCACGGAGGATCGCTGCCGCTCTATCATGTTTTGCCTCGGCTCCGACGGTTTTACCTTACAGTCGGCTTTTTTAAATTTTAAAAACATCTACTCTGGTCCAGTTTTGTCTCTGGAGAAGCTCTCTGGCTGCTACTGGTACACAATAATCATATTCCAGGGGATGAATTGTTCAGAAATTTAAACTCGACTTCTTCCTGCCTTTAGGTAGGACAGGGAATGTTATGTAGCTGCAAGCTGAAATAAACTTTAACATTGTGTTTAGGGAGATCCTGCATCAGATAATGTCTTCTTAACGGCATTATTACTTCCAGATAAGTGGGTTAGGGTTAGGGTTAGGGTTAGGGTTAGGGTTAGGAGTTAGGATTTTCCCATTGACTTTGCATTGAAATCGCTTACTTCCAAGTTTTTCTTCCAGATTTATATGTACGTCCATTAAATCTGGAAGTTCAACTTCCAGATTTTTCTTCCAACTTCCAGATTTTTCTTCCAACTTTTTTTGTCCACCAGGGGCAGTATACCCTTGATTTTTGAAAGTTGGAAGTACATTCCGGAAGCGAAATCTGGAAGTATAAGGGAGCTTCCACATTCATATGTTATTCAATATTACCGCTAAAGATGCTAACCATGCTAATGTCCACGCTAATGCTACTATTACTACTACTACACTACTACTACTACTACTGCACTACTACTACTACTATTACTGCTACTGATGCTACTACTACTACTATTGGTCTACTGGTGATGCTAATGCTAATGCTAATGGTGATGCCAATGCTAATGCTAACGTTAATTGTTATGTTAAAGCTAATGTTAATGGTGATGCCAATGGTGATGCCAATGGTGATGCTAATGCTAATGCTAATGTTAATGGTGATGTCAATGGTGATGTCAATGGTGATGCCAATGGTGATGCTAATGCTAATGCTAATGCTAATTCTAACTTAATGGGTTTTTGG